GGCTCCCGGGCCATGAGGATAAGACGCTGTCAGGCCAAGATGGTTTGTTTACCTTGAGCGTCCTCAGGCACGGAGGTAAACCTAAGTAAACAAAGTGTTCCGGCGGGCCAGCTGCTTACCCTGATGGGCTGGGACAGCAACTGGTGGGGAAATTTTTTGGGGGGGGAGAAGCTGGGGGTCAGGGGAGTAACCCCTCTGACCACCCCCCACATTTCCTCACCCCTAGCCTGGGACCCCCCACACTCTCCCCATCCCATCCCTTCCCACCTTATCTGGGGAGGGCCAAGGGAGGATGTCTCTGGCCTGGCTGGAGCTGCTCCGGCAGGCTGGGCATCACGGCCGCAGCCTGCTCCGGCGGGCCAGACCGGGCGGCACGGCCACAGCATGTTCCAGCAGGCTGGGCAGCACGGCAGCCGGGTGCTCAGGCACCCGGGCGGCGCAGCCACAGCCTGCTCTAGGGGGCGGGGGCCGAGCGGCACAGCTGCAGCCTGCCAGCCCCGGAGCTGCAGCTGCTTCGGAGGCTGGGGGGAGAGCAGCGTGGCCAGAAGCGGAGAGACTCTGGCCCCGCCTCTTCCCTTCTGGCTCTGCTGCATCTCCTTGCTCCCTCTGTTGGGGGAAGGGGCTGTGTCCCACCCCTCCCTCTCTATACCCGTTCATAAGCCGATCCCCTTCTCTGGTGCTTCCCTTTTTTACTAAAAAAAATTCAGCTTATGAATGAGTATATACGGTAATACGTTACTCCACGAATAGCCCTACTGATTTCAATGGAACTACTTGAGAAGTAAGGTGCTACTCAATATGAGTAAGAGAGTCAGAGTCTGGCATCAAATTTCTAACACATTGTTATTTCTCCTTTCTCTCTCTCCCCTCCCCCCCCCCAAAAAAAAAAAAAAAAAACCAACAAAAAGCCTTGTACTGACACTACAGGATCAGGCCTTAGGGGAACACATCATCTTCTAGGAATGTGCCTTTTATCCCCATATGTCACCTAATTGGAATTTTAGAATTTTTGGACATAAACTATGATCCCAGTTCTGCAGCCTTTAATCCCATGAAATAGTCTTTACTCATGCCAGCAGCCCCATTGACTTCAAGTACTTCAATGAGTTAGGGAGTCAGGACCAGGCCTTAGCTGTTTAATAGTATTTCCTATTCTGCTACATCTCCAAGAGATACTGCTGTCAGTTAAACAGCTAATGAGTTGTCATTCTATTAAAACAAATGGAACAACAGAAACCCGAATCAGAAACTTGGAATGCTATCTTAGGGCAGAGACTTACTTCACCCTAACTTATATGTCATCACCAATCTTCTCCCTGCACACAGCTCATGGTAACATACCATCACAGCCCTCTCCATTAAGATATGAAACCAGGGTTAAGTGACAGATCAATGTGGATGGTAATCTCTCTCTCTCGAGCTGTAGGAAGTGGGAATAGAAAGAGGATTGTTATACTGATGTCAGTATGATTAATTATAGTCCCTTTTGCTGAGGAAGATTTTCTAGTTCTTCCACCAAGGCTGACACACCCCCACCTCCTCAGCAACAGCAATATTAGAATTCCTTCTCCTGACATGCTATCCAGAATCCATACTCATGTAATTTGGTAGGTCATTGACACATTGGTTAATTATAGCAGGGTTAAGTTAAATACACTATGAATGACTATGCACTGGGAGCTGATGATATGGAATCAAACTGTTATTTTGACACAATCATCAAAAAATAAATATCTTTGAGTGGTTCCTGGCTATCCCTAGTGAAAATGATTGTTAATAAAAGATTAGGAAAGAAGTAGACTGTGATACAATTTAAAACTAGAATAGATTGTGCAGTCCTGTCCATCTAGGTGCTTTCATAGTCTCCATCACCGCGGTACGTAAGCGCCTGCCCAAGTATTTAAAAACAAACAATAATGATCTCTCCCATCCCTCCCCCTTCACAATCTATAGGAAAAATAACTCAGGAATGGGGGGTGGAATATGTGTATGTCTATTTATATACCTCATTGGGGGAAGACAAAAGGAAAGGATGAGATTTGCATTTAGTTTTGAATGTGATGACGCTCGTGGTCATTCCTAACTCTTGCAGGAGTGAGTTTTATATTTAGGTCCAGCTCCTATAAAACTTTTGTCCTCCTCTCAGAAGCCTTCTCCTGTTGGTTACTAGTTTCATGGTGAGAGGTCACACTGCACATGCAGAGGCCCTCTCTTCTATAACTAACTATGGCCAACCCCAGGGAGGGCTTTGACGTTTAGGACAGAGGCCTTGAATTGGACTCTATTCAATAGGGCACCAGAGGAGAGGAGAGCTGGGCTAGGTAGTGTGTTCACAATGATTCATGTTGCTAAGCAGCCAGACTGCTGTATTTTGTGCTAGCTGGAGCTTTTTCAATTTCTTCATTCCTAGTTAACAAGCTAGGCAATACCAAACCTCAAAGAATGCACATAGCTGAAACAACCAAGAGAGAGGCAACCTAAACAAGCATCCAGATACTTCTCTATTGATTTACTTGTATAAGAGGGCAAACCCAGGGCACTTATCTTTGGTACTTCTGCTACAACTACAAGGGAAAAGCTACAGATAAAGACTAAGCATGCTAAAAGGCCATTTTAACTGTGCAATTGTTGGCAACATTGATCTCAAGAAAAGGAGGCAATGCCATATCTTCATAGCCATGACTCATGCAAGAAACGATAACATCTAAGAGAGCAGTTTTATTACTACTATATCTGGAGGGCAATTGCAAAGCAATCTGACATTTATTCGCACTGGTTGACCTACTGCCCTCTCAACCTCTAGCATATCCATAATCTTCTATACAATATGGTCACAAATTGAGCTGGCTGGAGAGAGATCAAGCAGTGTGTAAATAAAAAGCTTGACGAGTTTAACAAAAAAAAAAAAAAAAAAAAACCACCCACACAATAAAAGAAGCCCTGCCAGATGCCATATGAAATTTTGTCATCAGACAGGAAATTAAAATCACATGCTGCAGTGTATGTGGCACACAGAGGCATGTCTGCCCCTGTAACTATCTGCACCTGACTGTGGTCATCTCAGAAAGATCCCCAAACACTTAGGTATTTGGAGTTTGGGATGTAGTCTCATAACTTTGGGCACTGATTGGGATAATGTGTAAATCTTTGTGTATTATTCAAATACCCTTATCTCTTGATTGTCATGGAAATGACACCTCTTCACTCCTAGCATTATTTTTGTAGTAATATGAACTGTATTCTGTGAGCAAGAACTTGACTTTGGGAAAGGTGGCATTCCTGGCTAGCACAAAGTGACTATGATGGCTCGAGGCCAACCCCCTCAACCTTCCTCTGAGCATGGGTTTGTCAAGGCATTCCAGGGGGAGGTGAGTGGCAAGGGCATCCTGCCCTTCAGTAATCCCTGGCTGATGTAATGGCTCATAAGAGACTGTTACCAGCTGGCATACTTTAGATGAGGCCTGATGAATAGGGTGAAGAGAGCAGGAGGTGGCATATAGTTTTGCACCCCTTCTGAGGGATGTGGGCATGGCTTTAGCACTTGTAAGGAGTAAGTCCTATAAATGGGTGGTACCATCTCTTTAACGTTGCTAAGGGAAGCATCAAAGGACAGCAGTTACCTTATCCAAAATGTTCCTCTGTAGACAATCTGTGGGACAGGTGACAGTCACTGAAATGCACTAGGGGTGGCAATTTGGGGTCTGTGAGAAAAACCCAGAATGCTAACTCTGTTTATAGTCCAAGCCAGAGCTCCAAGAGCAAGGTGGGCTGGAACATGACCCTCCCCTCAGTGTTGATGGATTACTGGTAAATGTAGTTCCCTGACAGTCAGTGGTAGCTTGGAGTTGGGATGAATCGTGGTGGGAGAGAAGTGGCATCTTTCTCCCAGATGAGAAAGAGACTTTGGTGGTCTCTCCTAGAAGGAGGGCCAGATAACTCACACAGGACTTTTTACTTTGGAAAAAGGATAGTGAAGCAGAGCGTCTATGCTAGGAGAAGTAAGGGTTTGAGAAAGGACTGGGAATCAGGCCCTTTGGAGAGGGACTGTATTAATTTCCAAATGACAGGGGGAGGCAAGAGTGTTATCACTCCCAGTAGATGTGCTTCCACCTTCAGAGGTACCTGAATCTTTGGGGATGGGGGAAGTTTGGGCTCTTATTTTAATCAGCATCCTGAGAAAGTAAACTAAACCCTCCTCCAGATATGCAGATCTGGGTTTCTAACCTGCCAAGACACCAAAACAAGACTAGATTCAGTGCAGGGTTTATGCCTGCCTACACTGGAAACTTCACCGAGGAACAAGGCTGCAAAGACACTAAATGGCTGCAAGTTCCCCTATTCTGGGTGGAGGGGATATAAGGAGTTAGAACACCCTGAAAAATTGGAGGAACTGGCCAAAGAGAGGGCATAGTCAATATTTGAGACTTGACAGCAGGTTCAGTACCTTCCATCAGCAGAACCTGCTGGTGGAAATTAGGCAGGGCTTGGGAGTGCAAACTCCCCAGCAGAAACCTCAAGGATGTACTGCCACAGAAATATTGCCTACCCTGCACTGAGTGAATCCCTTCCTTCCTGTACAGGGAATTATACCTTCCTGAACCAGCTTTCCTGAAGCTGGCAATGAAGGTATTAAAAAGCAATGCCAGACAATGGCTCCCTCAAGCCTGCTAAAGAGAAATCCACACACAAACCTCCAAGCAGCTAATCAAAGCACTTTCGCCCTTTTAACTCGTCTAGAACAACCTAAAAGAAATGACAGAAACAGGAATTGTTGCCGTCAGTTCAGTGCAAGCAAGATGCTAAAGGCCCAGCTTTACTAGCACCATCTCTAATCTCTCATTCTCTTGCATCACATCTCACTGGATGGAAGCAATTGGAAGGGGGAAACGTGTGTTCTAAGCACTAAAAGGTTAATACTTGGAAATCAGCAACTGCCAAGAACAAATTCCCCCACCCACTCATCCACCCCCAGCTTTGAAGTGTTTTCTTTTAAGCTTTACCTTGGCACACTGGCCAAATAAGTCACAAGTTTCCGAAGGTCTTCCTGCCTTATTCTATCGTGATTGCTGCGTGCTGGAAAGGTCAGGATGGGACCACCTCGTTTATCACGGCCACCTGCAGAAAATAAAGGATTGTTAGAAAATCAGGCAGGAAACACATGTCAAAAAAAGTATGTGCACTGAATTGATAAACTTAAATTACTGTATGTTCAAGACCCCTTATTCATTTGTAGATTTCAGACTCACTTAATTGAGCAAGACTTTCTCACATCCGCTGGAGTGCCAAGGAAAGGAAAAAAATGCAAGAAAACTTGTTACTGATGTTTCTTTTTACCTTAACTTAATCCCATCAAAGCTTCTAATATAACAGTTAATACAACCAGCTAATGCTAACAAAATCCTATCATCAGCGAGAGTTTTAAATATGACAAAATGCGAAGAGCTGAAATCTTTTTCAGTGTTACCCAATCTGCATTGCTTCTTTGGTCCCTAAGGAAAATTTATGTAGTAGGACATTTTAATGTATCTAGCAATTGCTTACAAACTCAAAGTTTAATTAAAATCTGGCGTTTGGCTCCTAGGGCTTCTCATTTGTAGAACGCATTTAACAATTGGCATGAGAATGTTGAGGTTTTTTATGTAGTTTCATTGCCCCTTGAAAAAAATCCAGGAGAGCTGCCAATGTCTGGTACCAAATATCTCACAGAAATTCTTAAAATACATTGTCATTAAAATGCTACTGAATGACTCTAGCCTGAATCACAGAATCATACGCATTAGAGATGAATACAAACTGTTGGAACATCTTTTATTCTCTTCTGTTAATAAAGTCTGGAAACTGAAACTTGTTTCCTTACCCAACATTTTGCTCTCTTTCTTCATTTGCTATTGTAGAGTTTTTCCTCAGGAAATTGTGAACTGTTGCATTTGTTTTTAATGTTGTTGACGGGGAAAATAGAGCAAAGCTTCAATTTAAAATATAATAAAGAGTTGAAGGGACCTTGCAGATAAAATATATCAGTTAAATTTTGATCTCTCCCAAAGGAAATAGTGTCCCTTTATTAGAAAAATGACTTCTGAGAAGGGAACTCACACATTTCTGTGAACTAGATCATCTGGCTGAGCGAAAGGAAGAGAGATTCAAGGACAGTGCACTAGCAGGTCTGAAATAAATACAGTCTTGTTCTCTAAGGGCATGATCCTGCAAGGGGCTGAGCACCTTCAGCTTCCATAGGAGTTGAAAGCATTCCAAACCTTGCAGTATCAAGCCTTAATACTGTAAACATTGGGCCCTGCTTCCATTGAAGTGAATGGGGACTTCAATGAAAACCACAACAGGTTCATTCTATCCATTTGTTGCTTGTTCTCCAAGGGTCACATACACAATGTTTCAACAGGATGAGAGGGGGTTGAGGGGGAATGCCCATAGGTCCTCTGAGCAGGAGAGAGAGAGAGAGAGATTTCTAGGGGATTCTGTTGTGGGAAGAGGGATAGTACGAGGGAAGAGCTGGATATGGGAAGATGAGACAAGGTTCATGTAGAGCTTTCAGGTTTGCATGAATCTCAGACATGTACAATGAGCCTAAATCCCTGGGATTTGAAGGGGCAGTTGTAGGCTTACCACAACTGTGCAGAGCCAATCTGGCACATTTCACATGGTTCTGCAGTTCTATCCATTGAGTCTAACTGATGGAGATTTGACAAGGAGACTGATGCCAGCCAGTCCTGCAGAATTCTGAGGTGCAGTTGGGCGTATTGAACCATGTAGGTTACCCATGCGACCCAGAAGCCTCAAACACCACACAGGTGACACATGTGAACTGGAAGCCTCAAACAGTTTTGTGCTGTTGTGCCCAGGTGAGCCTTCAAACCTATAACAATTGATTGTATTGCCGGGAACCTGGAGTTCAGAACAAAGGGCCTCACTTGAGATAAATCCAATACAGTCCCTGTAAACTCTATCCTCCGGACTGGGGAGAGGAGAGATTTTTCTCTGTTGATTAACAGTCGCAGAGCAGTGAATGTTGACTAGATCAGGGCAATGCTGTTCTGTAGTTGCAGTCTGGACAAGCCCCTGACCAGCCAGTCATCCAGATAGTAGTAAACCTGAACTTCTGAGCTTCGGAGGAATGCAGCTCTATTGCCATGACTTTTATAAGACCCTGGGAGCTGCTGACAGGACAACAGTCAGTATAGTGAATTGGTAAGGATTTTGATTTACCAGAAATCTAAGGTACTTCCTGTGAACTTGATTGATTTCCACATAGAAGTAGGCATCTTTTAAGTCGGGGTGGCATACCAGTCCCTAGGGCCCAGGGAAGGGATAACAGAAGCTAAGGTGACCATATGAATGTGTTGAGTTGACGGAGGTCTAAAATTGGACTGAGACCCTCTTTTGATTTTGGTATTCAGAAATATCAGGACTAAAACCTCTTCCCTCTGAGACTGCATAGAAGCTCCTGTATGGCAGTGACACTCAACCTTTCCAGAATACTGAAATACTTTCAGGAGTCTGATCTGTCTTGCATACTCCAAGTTTCACCTCACTTAAGAACTACTTGCTTACAAAATCAGACAAAAATACAAAAATGTAACAGCACACAATTACTGAAAAATTGCTTACTTTCTCATTTTTACCATATAATCATAAAATAAAATGTTTGGAATATAAATATTGTACTTACATTTCAGTATATAGAAGAGTATAAACAAGTTACTGCCTGTATGAAATTTTAGTTTGTATTGACTTGACTAATGCATTTCATGTAGCCTGTTGTAAAACTAGGCAAATATCTAGATGAGTTCATGTACCCCCAGAAGATTTCTGCATACCCCTGGTTGAGAACCATTGTTCTATGGCTCCCAAATGAAGAAGTGATTGTATTGCATGGATAAGGAGTTTCTTGTAAGAGTGGTACCTGAAGTGGTACCTGTGGGAGGGAAGGGTAAAAGTAAACTGGAAAGTATATTCCATTTCCACAATGCTCAAGACCCACTGATCGGAAGAAATTCAGGACCAAGCACTGTGGAAGTGGGATAGACAGTTTGAGGAGGTGAAGGAGTTTGGGTGTGGAGAGATGGAGGCTGGTAAGTAGACCTCAATCAGCCCATCAAAGTGACTGTTTTGCACTTCCCAGGTGTCTTGAAGGGCCCGGAGCTGGAGCCAAAGCAGCAGGAGAGTGAGGCCTATGCCTATAACCCCTGAGCCTCTTTTTTAACAGGTCCTGTGAGGAGGAGCAGCAACATATTGGTGCAACTGCTGGGCCCTATAGTGCTTCCTGACTGGGACAGGCCTTTAAGGTGGCTCTAGCATCCTTAAGTTCATGGAGGTTGCTGTCCATCTGGTCCAAGAATAGAAAAGAACCCTTAAACAGCAAGTTCTGGATACTATTCTGGACTTCATAGGGAAGATCAGAAGACTGCAACCAGGATGATCTACACATGGCAACTGCAGAAGCCCTGGTTCTAGCTGCCAAGTCTGCTGCATCCAGCCGGCAGGGCTGTTTTCATGACTAGTCTGCCCTCATAGACCAGGGAAGAGAACTCCTGCCTAGCATTTTCTAGAAGCAGCTCTCTGAACTTTTCCATGGAGCCTCACACATTAAAATCATGTCACCCCAACAAAGCCTGTTGGTTAGCGATATGCAGCTGCAAATGCCCTGTCATATAAATCTTTCTGCCAAATAAGTCTAGCCTTTTAGCATCTTGTGATTTGGGGGTGGCAGCCTGGTGCTCCTCTTGCTCTTTCTCGGTAGCTGCTGTGATGACTAATGAGCCCAGAGGTGAGAGAGTATAAAGGTACTCAAAACCTTGGAAAGGTACATAGTACTTTATTTCTGCCCCTTTAGAGGTGGGAGGCAAAAAGAGGATGGAATCTGCCATGAAGCCTTTATAGGCTCTAGTATTGCCTGATTAGTTGCCAAAGGTAGCCTGAAGGAACCTTGTAACGGGATTGCACTCACCTCTCGCAAGTGCCCTCTGGCTGAGTGCGTGTGCCTGCTCTCTCTCTCTGTTTGTGGTGGGTTTTCACTGACTCAGCCTTCTGCCCAAGTCATACACAGTCTGTCTGTGAGATAAAAGCAAAACAAACCCCTTTCGGGGTACAATCCAACAGGGGCTTCTCTCAGTGCCATTTGTAATGTCTCTGTTTGTCCCTGCTCTGGAATAGAGCAGTGCCCCAGGGCACCTTCCCTGGAGGCAATGTCTTCGCTCTCTCAGGATCTTTCTGGCCCCAGCTCTTCAGCTGGGCCACTACAGTTCAGTCCAGGGCTGGCTCCAGGCACTAGCAAAAGAAGCAGGTGCTTGGGGTGGCCAATGGAAAGGGGCGGCACGTCCGGGTCTTCGGCGGCAATTCGGTGGCGGGTCCCTCAGTCCCTCTCGGAGCGAAGGACCCACCGCCGAATTGCCACCAAAGAATGAAGTGGCGCGGTAGAGCTGCCGCCGAAGTGCCGCCGATCGTGGCTTTATCTTTTATTTTTCCCGCTTCGCCACTTGGGGCGGCAAAAAAGCTGGAGCCGGCCCTAGTTCAGTCCCCTTCTGGGGTGCCTCAAAGTCCAGGCCACTTTCCCAGTGACTGGTGGGGAGGACCCAGACCCACCCTCTACTCCAGGTCCCAGCCCAGGCAGCTGTCAACAATGTCCCTTTAAATAAACTGGATTGCTGCTATAATTCCCTGGGCCACTTCCCTATGGCTCCCACACCTTCTTCACCCTTACCTCAGGGCCTTGTCATGGTGGAATCCCAGCAGCCAGTCTGCAGCACAATCCACTCTACACCAGCTCTAGCAAAGAACTGATCTCAGTCTATCCCTGCAGCTCTTCTTATACTAGCCTGCTGGGTCCCGATTGGCTGCGTCCCACACAGCTGCTCTAGGCAGCTTGGAGGACCTCTCTACTGCCCTTTTCTGGGGCGTGGTGTGGCACGGCCACAAGGCCTCCAGCAGGGGGTCTCAGGGCCTAGTTCACCCTGTCACAAACTCACAGATAATAAAATGTCTATCAGGTGATGTGAGGACTCCCTGACCACCTCCATCTGTATGCCCAGCCACGCTCTTTAACAACTCCTGATAAACTTTAAAATTATCAGAAGGGGGTGAAGTTGTCCTGGACAAAATGG